AGGTTCCTGGAGCGATTTATATAAGGTTGGTCTGGCCGGCTAGCTCACACAGTTCGAGCCTGGTACTGATAACACCAGGGTCCAAAGTTTGCATCCCCATACCGGCCAGCTGACAAAAAAAACAAAACATTTCCACAAACGACCATTTTTTAGTGCACGTGTGGGTTGCTTCCAGTTGTTTGATGTGAAAATATGCTTATGATGAGATTTCTTGTTCTTAATTTTTCAGACTTTTATAATTACGTGCTTTAAAGCAAATTATTAGAAGTAGAATTGCAGGATCCAAGAGCTGCATAACTTGTAGGGTCGTGAGAACTCTACACATACACCACTCAGTGAAATCAGTAACATTGACAATGAAGTGTGCACATTGTGCAGATAGGGACNACACCACTCAGTGAAATCAGTAACATTGACAATGAAGTGTGCACATTGTGCAGATAGGGACCATCGAGGTATAAATGAGGGGTTTTTGTTTGCTTGTTTGTTTGTTTGTTTTTAAAGATGACCGGTAAGGGGATCTTAACCCTTGACTTGGTGTTGTCAGCACCACGCTCTCCCAAGTGAGCGAACCGGCCATCCCTATATGGGATCCGAACCCATGACCTTGGTGTAATCAGCACCGCACTCTCCTAAGTGAGCCACAGGCCAGCCCTAAAGCATCTTTTGGATCACTGCACCCACAAACCTGATCTACCACTAAACCTCAGATAATAATAGTATCATGTATGTATCACCCCAATCTATTTTTTAAAATTATTGGTGTCTTGAATATGTGTCTTCCCCGTTTTGAAATGAGTTCCTTGATTCTGCACAATAAATGGATACAAATCAGAACTGAGGTTAAGTTACAGATAGTTTAAGGGCCAGGAATAAGGTGTATGCAGCTCTGCAGATAGTAGTTTCTTTGCAGTGTTTAAAGGTAAGCCTGATGTTGAAATCTGATACTGACAGGAAAAGCAGGCTGGAACGTAAATGCTACTGCAAAATTTCTCTGTCCAAGAGAACAATATGTGCCAGCTCTCAGAGGCAAGATTTTCAGTTGTTGACATAGGAATTGGCTTTACACATGTGATTTCCAACATGCTGAATGGCAAGAATTAAATGCTGACATAAGCCTAGTATGGCTGGAACAAGGAACTGAGGGTAGCATGTTGTGACACAGGCACTGAGTGGGAATGTGGCAGACTGTACTCAGTTAGATGATGACACTATCCAGTTTGCATGCTGGCTGTGGACAATAGATTACAAGGGGTTGGTTAGATGTAGGTAGAAGAATTAGGAGGCTACTGCCTTATTCTAGGCATGGATTAGTGAGTGGTAGAGAAGATAGAAATGATGGGATGGGTTTGAGATTCAAGAGATAAAATTGTCGGGACTGAATAATGAATTGCAGGAGGGTTGAGAAAGACGGCAGTGTCATGAGTGAACCTTCGGTTTATGATTTGATGGCAAGATATGAGGGCACTTCAAAGAGTTTGTGGAAAAATAGAATAAAAAAATAAAAAGAATCTTTCCATTAACTTTTTGAAGTACCAGCCATATTTCAGGCACAATTTATTCTTCTCCCAGAGTACAGCGTGCAGTGAATTATGGACACAATTAAAACTTGATTCAGTGGAAATAAATTTTTATATCTCTAACCATCTAAGCTAACCGGCCAGCCCAAAAGTTTTTTTTTTTTTTTTTTTTTTTTTTTGGTGGCTGGCTGGTACAGGAATTGAGCTCTGGACCTTGTGGTGTCAGCATCATGCTAATCAAGTGAGCTAACTGGCCAGCCCCCAGTGGCATCTGTATACTGACTGGGAATCTGTTGTTACAGGGAAGAGTGACCTTTGAGGACATCACTGTGACCTTCACCCAGGAGGAATGGCAGCAGCTGAACCCTAAATGATGCTCTGTGATTTCCAAGGCTTGATCATAAATATACCACACACTCTGTCCTGCTCTCTTAGATGCTTGCTCTTGGAATCCAGCCACCATACTGCAAGGAAGACAAGACAAGGCCACATGGAAAGACCACATGGAGAGGCCACATGTAGGAATTCTAGCCAACAGCCCAGTGTGGTCCAGCTGACAACCAGCTTCAACCACTGGACGTATGACTGGTAAGGGGATCTTGGCCCTTGGCTTGGTGTTGTCAGCACCACGCTCTCCCAAGTGAGCTAACCAGCTGTCCCTATATAGGGATCCAAACCCGTGGCCTTGGTGTTGTCAGCATCACACTCTCCCAAAGCAACAAAGGACGAATAAATCTTTCAACAACGATCCTACATCGACAAACAAGCGGCAGCG